TCGATATAGCACCGCTCAATCACATATTCCGTTGGTATGACGTTTGCCTGATAACGTAACTGTCCAGGTTTCAATTCTCAGTAGTGGATGCGAACTGCTGATGAGTCCCAAATATAGCCGTCAAGTGCTTTCTGCATTCTGTTAAGGTTTCTTCTAGACTCGACGAATTACTTAATTATAATTATCTCAAATCCTCCCAATTTTCTATCAAATGTGAATTTATACACTTTCTTTGTTTTTGAGAATTGATAACAAAAATATTAAACTCTATTTGATTGTTTATTTACTTTCATCATATCTTTAGAATTGGAGTAAAACATAAACGTATGACAAAAGTAAAATAAATCTAATCATTGGTATTTAAAGCAAACATTGTCAAGGAGTAAAGGTAGTTAAAATAATAATAGCTGTGTGAAGGTAAAAAAAAACGTCTTTTTGACACTCGGTTTTTTTTAGGACGCAAAGGTCCAAGATTGCTATATTTTCTTTGACAATCTAAAATAAAATTCAAGATTATTTTCAAAGTTCAAAACATACAGTTGTTGTAGCATGATGAGGATGATATTATAATTAAAATAATAATTTCAGTTTCAAATTAAAGAAATGTTATACTTTTCAATAGAACTTAGTATCACAATATCAAAAGCTAATCCTTGGAGATGATTGTTATTTGAATGATAAGAATTAATTGCTGTTGCTGACCTTTGACATATGACCTTTTATGTTTCACTGTGCCAAAAAATATATTCAGTCTGAAGAGTGCGAATAAAAAAAAAATATCTATGTATATTTCTGAGATGAAGTATTGTAACTATTTACTTTGTTCCAACTGTTGTCCCCATCTTTACAATGATTAGGTTGTTGTATACTCCAGTCTTCTACTGGTGATATACATTGAATTGAACCCTTTAATTAGTCCACACAGGATAGATTGTTCTAGTTCCGCATGCCATGCCTTATTTGGATATCTCAGTTTCAGTTATTTCCCTTTAGTAACTCTCTAAGGTTTTGTTTTCACAACTCTTTGGGTCAAGTTACATTTTGTATTACTTTCTCGTAGCACTTTGGATATTTCAGGGGTACTGTTTAATGTCTCATGTCTGAAACATTAGCACATAATATGTTTATTTATCGCTACAATCAGTCCATCCCACTTCCAAAAATTTGACCTCACATCAGAATGTCTCTCATCGTTTTCTTTTTTTTTTTTTTTTTTTAATCTCATGGTTGGACCATGAAATTTTCAGCACCCCACTTTGGGCAAAAAAGAATAAATTCTTTTTGATGTATATAGATTAAAACCATTCTTCAGAATATTTGGCCTTAAGGTATCTTACATACGCCCAACACCAACAATCATAGCAAGGGTCTAGGTTTACTGTGCAGCTCTTCACATATGTGGGCAAATATTTGCATAAAATTCATCAGTAGAATCACCTCTGTAATGTCTCAAATCTTATTTATTTGAGACAAAATTGCACAGTTTTCACTGATATATAGAAAAATAGCAGTCTTTTTCTTCATTTCTATTTTTTTATCTTAATACCTTCATGAGTTTCTGAAAAGCATCTTTCGCTATTTCTTAGCGCATTCAGTGTTACACTTGCTGTCAATGTTATTATGCTACCAAAATTATTGTGCTACCCAAATACCCTATATAGTATATATTTATTTTTGCACTATACACAGGTAATTTTCTTCTGGAGGGGCTAAAATTCATGCCAAAATATATTCAGGGCTCGCACTATACACAAAGTTGGCTTATATGCAAGTATATATGGTAGTTAACTTCCTATTTAAAATTTAATGTTCCAGATGGATAACTCACATTTTGGTTTCCCCCTTTTGCCAGACATTAGCATAATTTCCAAGCCACAAACTGAGAAGGATCTCAATTCTTATTATTAACTTGGTTTCTTTGTTTAATAAAATTCTTTCATGGCTGGGTTACCACATACATGTTCAGTCATCTTGCTAGTAGTATCTGGCCATCGAAAGCAGAAAATGACTCAAACATCATCATCATCATTATCATTTTTATTATCATTATTATTATTATTATTTTTAGTTATTAAAACGAAAGATGGCTTGGAAGAACTTAAATGAAATATTTTTCTAGAAAGAGAATAATAAAATGTATAAATGCGTTGTCTTTGAAAAAGAGGAGCTGGCAGGTGTTACAAATGCTATTATTGTTCACAAGTTCGGCACATCATGTTGCAAAAAAAGGCTGTGTTTACTCACATGGTAAGAGAGCATCTTCTGTTCGTGGCGTCTACTCAAAAACTGTTCTCCTTACGGACTGGGTTTCACTGACTGGACGTTATGAGTCACGTGACCTGCCAAGTGCATGTGTATACCAATTAGGGAAGAGGGAGGAAAATTAACTAAACAACCTCTTAAGCATCAAATCCGACACACATAAAAATGAATACTGAGGACTTATACGGGGCCGGTAGGAACGTCTCACCCGCTCCCCGAATCTATGCTACACCCCCCCACACACACACACACACTCTACTACATTTTTCATAAGATAGTATTCATATAAAATACAAATTTTATTGTAACCTAATTATGTACAATAATGGATTATATGCAATATAGGTGAACAATTCAAGTAGAAAAATTGCAAATAAATACAATGTATCTAAATAGAAATTTAGAGACATGTTATAACAGATCATTCTATCCTAAATAAATCAATAATTTTTTGAGGCAATTTTTAACATCATCTTGAGATATTTCTTGTTAAAAAGAATTTTAACACATTCAACATCATGGATAAAAAAAAATAGTGAATTTTAGATAGAGTTTTTTTTTTATATAGCGTTTTTTTAGTTTTTTGTGGGGGCGGGGGTTAAAAAGTTGAATTTTAACGCATTCAACATTATGGATAAAAAATAGTGAATTTCTTATAATGTTTTCACGGGTTTTAACAAAATAAAGAACTCAGAATTATGTCAAAATCCGTAAAAAAATTCTCATCCTTTAATATTCAGTTGTGCTTTGTTTAATTTGCAATGCATATAAATGTAGGTAGAAAAAAAAAGCAAATGCTGATAAGATAACGAGGGTTACAAGCACTGCCCAAAGCACCACATCAGGTTTTCAAGTGGTACGTATCAGCCCCAGGACAGTCCTAGTTAAAACCAAGACATGATAAATGTACATTTTACTTACTATCAAACATTCAGTCTTTGTACAATTAATGGTTAGTCATTTGAAATAAAATAAAATAAAATTACTACAATGGACAAACTGAAAAAATATTAAAAATAATTCAGTTTAAATTTGAACAAAGTGCCCCATATTTTAGTAAATGCGACAACCCTATTATTTGTAATAATAAATTATCATTTAATGTGTACATGAAAAAATGAGATCAAATCGTTTAATGCTTGTTGACTGACTTTCGTCTGAAAAGCCCAACTTGACGAGAAAACTAAAAACCCGTGGAATGCATGTGTATAGTGTTTCAAACGGATTTTCACGCCCGATTTCAGTAGTCTATCCGCGTACATAATTGCTTCATCCCGTAAAACGTCGTATTGTGACGTTACAATGTAGGCGTTGGGTAAGCCACTGACATTGTGGGCCAGAGAAGGCGAGAAACGGACGTCGGTGAGTAAGGGTTGCCAACGTTCACTAATTGGCTGGTTGACACGAAGGTCGAAGTCGGGAATAGATTCTCGCGATGTTACGTTCAGGTGTCGTGGCAGGTAATTTTTGCTGTCGATATATTGAAAATAGCGTCGTTTTGTGTCTGGGAGAACGTGACGGTTTGATAGGAAAGCTGATTGGTCAAAACCGGTCAAATTAGCGTAGAACTGCCAATGGCGGGCAACACGATCAGCAGATGTCATACCGGCCAGGCTATTATAATTATCTACATAAGATGGCGTTTGGAAATCTAAAGACTGAAAAAACAAAGAAAGATAAAATTAAAAAGGTCAAGTTTGAAAGAATGAATGAATAAGAAAGATTATTAAATACTAGCAGTAGAGTCCGGCGTTGCCCGGGGATGTAACAGTAAGAGATAGATCAAGTATCGACCATCATAAAGACTGAAAAATAAGATTGACAAAGATTATTGTTTAAGGTTGACGGACACGCATGTCTTAGTTTTTTGTTTTTTGTTTTTTTACGAATTGGTCAAACTCAAACAAAAACATTGTTCTCAATCGTTATGAGTCTACCGATTGAATAGAATTTTATTATAAACAATTGTCTTGTAAATGGAATTTTTAAAGCATTCTGAATGTAAAAATAAAGAAAAAAGTGTGCAAGACAATAAGAAACACTACCTGCCAAAAAAAGTGAAGTTTTGTTGAAATCGGTTGAAAAATGTAGGAAATCCAATCCCATATATAAACGAACACACACACATACACACACACACAAACAACCTGGGTTTTATAATAAGTATAACTCGATATGAGTTGTCCAACTTCATTCTGGCGATGCCTCTTAATCATGTTTTTAAATTGATTTCGTGCAAGAACAATTGTATTTTTCCAATTTTTGGTGCTGTCAGAACCACCGCAAGGTAATTTTACGTAGTCCTGTGAAGTTTTGTTGAAATCGGTTAAAAAATATAGGAAATCTGATCCAATATATAAACGTACAGACACACACACACACACACACACACACACACACACACACACACACACTCACACACACAACCTGGGTTTTATAATAAGTATGATATATACACACATTTTTAAATGTTAGTATTTTTTCACGGCTGCAAAAATTCCCATGAACCATTAGACCAATGAAGTGCAATGCCAAGTAACACCCCTTCGACACATCTCTCAGGGCAGTGAAAGTTACTCGGCAGTGTCCATCTCCTTTCTAGTTTACAGGTGACAGGTTGTAGTGAGTACCAACAGCAAGGAATGGTGGTTGAGCTGTTATCAAACACATTGCTATCTATCGATTACTGAAGGAAGAAGTGGTTTCATGCCTTTTTGATTTATCAATTACATTATCAGTGCATACTTTCTTTCTTTCTCTCTCTCTCTCTCTCTCGCTTTCTCTCTCTCTCTCTCTCTAATATATATAGTATTATTACTTAAATGTTATTTTTAGTGGATACCCATATTTGAGTAGACGTTTGAGTAAACGTTTATTTATTGAACACTAAACAGTATATTTATTTATTTTCATCTACCGGCCTGAATATTCGAGAAATCTTATTAAAGAAAAATATGCGCTCTTGGCAGGATTCGAACCTGCGACCCTCTAGGGTAAACAGTCATTAGATCTGACATACTTTAGAACCTTTCGGCTACAGAGTGTGTCAATGTTCAAGCAAAGTTGAATAATGCCTTTAAACAAGAGGTTCTCAACCTTCCTTGCCCCATCCACCCCTTTCACCATTTGTCAGAATGCCACCCCCCACCTTTTCAAGGTGACAGGCCAGATAGTCCAAATTCTATAATTGCTCTCCGCCCCCTAAAACTTACTGTTGTGGTGTCCTCCCTCTAATAAGTCTATTGTGGACTCTTCCGCTTACTATAAAATTAGTAGGAAAGTAAGCCTCGGGGGAACAGTAGTATAGATTGAACGCTGACCAACCGACACACACTCCCAAGTCGTGTAATACTCTTCTGTTTTATTTACTGTTCAATACACGATTTATCTGCAACCTCTTGTTTTGTTATTTCTTAACCATTTACTTGGTTACAACACTTACTGTGGTCACAATTCACCCTTGAAAATCCAAAATTCACCCCCTGGGGTGGGTGGGAATTTCACCCCCGATTAGAACCCCTGCTTTAGATTTTTTCCTGACTCTTGAAAAACGTATCTGTTCAGTTCTATCTCCTAACATAAACAAAGCAATTTCTAAAGAAAAGGGTGGATTTTTTTTATTTATTAATCCAACAAAATTACCTTGCGGTGGGTCTGACAGCACCAAAAATTGGAAAAACACAATTGTTTTTGCACGAAATCAATTTGAAAACACGATTAAGAGGCATCGCGAGAATGAAAGGGGAACAACTTATATCGAGTTATACTTTTATAAAACCCAGGTTTGTTTGTGTGTGTGTGTGTGTGTGTGTGTGTGTGTGTGTGTGTGTGTGTGTGTGTTCGTTTATATATGGGATCGGATTTTAAGCATTTTTCAACTGATTTCAACAAAACTTCACTTTTCTTTTTTTTTCTTTTTTGGCAGTTAGTGTTTCTTATTGACTTGCACACTTTTTTCTTTATTTTTACATTCAGAATGCTTTAAAAATTCCATTTACAAGACAATTGTATAAAATTAAATTCAATCGGTAGACTCATAACGATTGAAAACAATGTTTTTGTTTGAGTTTGAGTTTGACCAATTCGTAAAAAAAAAAAATAATAATTAAGACATGCGTGTCCGTCAACCTTAAACAATAATCTTTGTCAATTTATTTTTTAGTCTTTATGATGGTCGATACTTGATCTATCTCTTACTGTTACATCCCCGGGCAACGCCGGACTCTACTGCTAGTATATTATAATAAAAAGAAAGAACAGTAAGATATATAATCCGGTGTTCTTAATTGATATTTTTATTTTTACAAAACAGTGCTCAGTGTAAATTTACAGAGCATAAATATTATAAATGAACTGATTTAAAATATGGTTACACAGGAATTACCATGTTTCAAAAATCAAAGCTAAAAATTTCAAATTTAATTATATAATTAAATTAAAAACATTAGTTGTTTCAACTTCAAACGAATTTTGGAATAACTTATTTTAAAATTTACTGAGTTTAAATATATATATAGTCATCATCCACAAACAAAAGGTTTCGCTGTATCGCAGCACATCAGTGTGGCTAGACATCCGATCGCTTCAGGCCGGGACCGAAACTCAACCGATTGGGTATCAATCAGAGATTCTAACCCCTAGGCCATAGACGCACGGTATAGACTGATTTCTTTTTGGGATTAAATAAGACTGACGAATCTTGTCGGTTAAAATAAGCCTATTCCCCATGTGAGATAATTTTGGATTTTATTGTGTACTAATCACTTGCACTGTAATAGTAAATACATTTAGCTCTTTTTGTGGACCAGTTTTAATATTACTAGGATCCACTCGGCTTATATACCAACGGATTTGTTACCTTTACTATATATATATATATATATATATATATAAAAGACATTTTTATGTTTATACATTCTTTTTATAGATACAAATATTTAAGTAAGTGCTCTGTTTACAATAAACAGTATAAAACAACATTTACCGGCCTGAATGTCCGAAAAATTTTCATAGAAAATATTCGTCCTTCGACAGGAATCGAACCTGTATCCTATACGGAACCGTCGTATAGCCTGACGTACCTTTAACCGATTTGGCCACAGAGGAGCGTTCGGTTAGCAAGGTCGAATTTACTGTCTTTAAAATACAATCTTCCATGATTCTCTCACGTACATTCATATCTGCTCATGGCGTATCCAAATGTAAAAAAATGACTTCACACATTATGAAATAGACAAAGTCCAGCAATTATAAATATTTGTATCTATAAAAAGAATGTATAAACATAAAAATGTCTTTAAAATAATTGTCGGACTTAGTCCATTTCATAATACATATATATATATATAAGTCAAAAGTTTGCTATATTTATAGGTGAAAAGTGTCAATATTGGTGAAAGAAAGCATTTATAGATATAGACAGTATAGACCTAGGAATCAACCCTGTATGGTGACTGTCAGTGGAACCAACCCATTCTACATGAACAAAATCCTCATTATTATGAAACCATTCTCAGCTTCCATGGCCTCCCAGATTCTGCACCTCAGCTGAATCCTATCCTTAGACTAAAACAATTTGACCAATGATTCATTAGTGAACACTATACTTAGGGTCAGATGTTATGAATTATAACCTTTGTCAGAGTATCACTGACTTCCTCTGGACTTGATACCATAAAGCATTTTCATTCCACCAACCAATCACTGTCTGCATTTGGATCCGATTGGAGAAAGTTCTTCCTTAAAACTTAATTTTCATTAATGATTTGGGGAAAAAATGACACAATAAAGAAAATAAATAGAAAAAAAATGACATATTTTATAATTAAATAGAGAATTGTATAAAGGTGTTTAAAAGGGGTTTCAGTGTGTGTGTGTGTGTAAACTGTGCACATGTTTTTGCGTATGCATGTATGTTTTTGAGTGTGGGCGTATAATGATGTTTTCATGTTTGTGCATGTGTTTAATGTACATTTTTGTGCACGACTGTAAGAATGTGCATATGTTTGTGTGCATGTGTTTAAAGTTGCACATGTTTGTGTTCACAGATGAGTTTTTGTGTGTATAAGTGTGTATGTCTGTACAATATGGTTACATATGTGCATGTGCATCTATGTTTACATATATGCATATATGTTTGAATATATGCATATATACATGTGCACATATTTGCATATGTGCGTGTGTTTATTTGTAAGTGCAAATGTGTGTAAAAGTGAGCTTGTGTGCATATGTTCGAGCATTTTGGTGTAACATGTGCACGTGAATGTGTATGCAAGTTTATGCGTATGTTTGTGTGCAAGCATGTGTATATAAGTGTATGAGCATGTGTGTGTAATTGTGTGTATAAGGATGTGTTCATGTAACCACATATGTCTGTGTATGTGTGTGAATGTATATAAGTGAATGTGTAAGTGTGCATCTACGTTTCTTAAAAGTGCATACGTATGTTATTACCTGTAGAGCAGGGTTAATGAGTACTTGCAGGAATATTTTTGATGCCATCTTTCGAGCAACTGCAGCGGCAAGGTTGCCTCCAGCTCCATCACCGGCAACCATAAGAAAAGATGGGTCCACGTTTAAGGTACGAGCATTCATTGAAACATATTTGGTTACCTGCAGACAATCACGTAGGCAGCTGGAAACGGGTGTGCAGGAGCCTTGCGATAACTGTTTTCAAAGAAGTCATAAAACAACATTAATTGGCATATATATATATATATATATATATATATATATATATATATATATATATATATATATATATATATATCCATAAAGGGTGTCCATAGTTCGTGCACTTTAAAAATTTATAACTTTATTTGTATTTGCGATAGAAATAATCTGTAAAAAATGTTATAAAGTTTAATGTACCTAGTTTTAAGTATAGCTAAAATAACTAATGTGATTTCAGGCATTACTGTAAATCAGTTGGCAAATGTTTTCCGTGAACTGCAAAATCGTATTACCTTTGTATTGCTAATGATGGAGGATATGTGGAAACTTAAATTTCAATAAAACCTAAAAATATTTTACAATAAAATTATTTCTACCGCAAATACAAATAAAAAAAATTTTTTAAAGTGCACACGACCTTTATGGACACCTATATATATATATATTATATATATATATATATATATATATATATATATATTTATAAATTTCAATTGATTTATCTGATTGACTGGAGTTTCAGGAAACACTCATCAAGTATTTGACAAAAGTTTATTGAATATTCTTGAGTGATATGAAACTTTTGAGTCGTTCAATATGAGACAATCGAACTGATTTATTGAATATTATAGCTCTAGTTATTTATTGATTTTTGGTACAAGTTCCACTTGTTTGAAAATATTATTTTTAGTTGTATTGTTATTTTATATATATATATATATATATATATATATATATATATATAGTTTGTGTGCCTATTTCAGCTTATATGATTTTCAAAAAGTTCACAATGTTTCTGGGATCTCTTCACAGGCCAGTTTATGATTGACACGTTGGAATGTTAACTCTGTAACCAATCAACTATGCGCATATATATATATATATATATTAATGGACAGTGTATTTATATATATATATATATATATATATTAATGGACAGTGATGTATATATATATATATATATATATATATATATATATATTAATGGACAGTGAAGTAATATATAAATATATATATATATATATATATTAATGGATATTTATTTATATATATATATATATATATTAATGGACAGTAGAAGTCAGTATAAATATATATATATATATATATATATATATATATATA